GACTTCAACTCCCAGAATTCCCCAGCCAGCCATGTTGAAGTCCACACATCTTCAAGTCGCCAAGGTTGAGGAACCCTATCTACAGTGTCTATGCATTCTGGAATCTGTAGAGTCCAAGGGAAGTTCAGAAAGAAATACATCCCATGGGCTATACAAGTGCACAGTGAGGTCCTTACAGCTCATTTATGCTAGAAGAATTTATGGTTCAGTTAGTGAACTGAGAATGTGACCATGCAATTAGTTCAGGAACTGTAAAATGGAGTCGTAATGTCAGCCTCCTCGCCAGATTAAAATAACCTAGCTTGGTGGAGAAGGTTTGCATTTCCCAGGTTTTTTTTTTCTCTGTTTACAATAATTTTCACTTAATAGGCCGGGTTAAATCACAAAGCTGCTTATCTAGATTTCATGCAACTGAGAGAGCTTGAACAGAACTAGCACATCTGGGCTGCAAAAATCTTGATACCCCCTTAGATGGTGGGAAAATTAGAGTTTTCTCTGCTGATTTGCTGCCTTTTATGGATGTCCAGATATTCTGCAGCTGAGATACAGTAGCTCTATTTTTATTTAATATGCTGGTGAATTATCAATTGAATATGCACTAAATATTCTGCACTGTAGTTTCTATGGGGAACTCAAAGAAGTTTACTCCTTTGGTGCACTTCCTTTAAAAAAAATTTCTAAGAAATTGTAACAAGCACGTGCCAGTGTCTCATGGGGCTATGCAGTGTTCGGGATTTGAAACAGGCATAGCCTTATTATTAGTTTAATCTACTACAGTTTGCTTCTCATAAAGTTTTATGCTTCATGGAACATCCCTGAATTGGTAGAACTTACTCTGCCAATAATGTAGTTAACATGAATGTAGGGATGTAGTTAACATAAAACACGGCTGCTTACAGAAATACTTTGTACTTTTGGCATGGTTGGCACTGCACACCAAGCTATCAGACTTCAATTTTATTTAAAAGTGTGTCACAATTCTTACTAAATGCTAATGCAATTATTAATATGAACATGTTTATTCAGTATTTATGTTTGCAATGTGGGGTATGTTACCCATGGAAATAAATGACTGTTTAGGACAGGGTTCCTCAACTTCAGCAACTTTAAGATGGGTGGACTTCAACTTCCAGAATTCCTCAGCCAGCCTCCCCATTCTGGGAGTTGAAATCCACCCATCTTAAAGTTGTTGAGGTTGAGGAACCCTGGTTTAGGAGACACAGATCAAGACTTGATAGGCAACTGAAAGAAAGGCGACTTAAAGTAGTCACACAGTGCTTAATTAGACTTTTTATATAAAAATCCACTGTTGGCAGAAACCAACTGACACATTCTCCCCACACACAAGTGGAACATCCAAATCCGACTGACATTGTAGTTAACATGGAATAGTTGCAAGTCCCCAACCTGTTTATTTTATCGTGTTCTCACACGATGAAGAAAAGCAGCATCCTGATTAGTTACGATTTCCTGAAAGTCTTAATGTAGAGTCCTAGAGTCTAGCATTCAGAACAAAAGCACTCACCACCTTGGAGCAGTGAATTCAACATGGAGCAACTTCATCTTATAACTGAGGGAAATGAGTGAGCAGCTTCTGCTGTCTGACCCTAATTGCAAAGAGATTATTTATTGTGATCTTCAGGCTGACTCTTGCTAAACTGCTTGTTTAATGGCTGAAGCATTGTCATACAAGAATGTTTCTTCTTTCTCCAATGAATAGAATACAAAAGGTTGGACTGGGTTAGAAGCAAAAGTTTAATAGGATAAGACAACAGAAGGAAACAGGATTGTTCTTCTAATGTTCTTGTTTCACTGGAGGTGATGCATGGAAAATCTTTTTTTTTTAATGCCCCGGGTGGTCCTACACAACTAAACTTAAAGAGTAGCTAGGAATAGAGAATTATTTTGCTCCTTGTCACAGGACTGTGAACATGACGTTCTCTCTCCTTAAGCTTCATCAAGAGGCTGGAAAGGAGTGTAGTGCAGTGTTCCTCAACCTTGGCAACTTTAAGATGTGTGGACTTCAACTCCCAGAATTCCCCAGGGAAGTCCACACATCTTAAAGTTGCCAAGGTTGAGAAACACTGCTGTAGTGGAATTTGAGTCGCATAACACCAGTTTGAAAAGTGGATGATTTACACTAAAACGTGCTGTGGATTCCCCATCCTGCACTAGGCATTTCTGAGTAGTGCCAGTGATTTCTGAATGAATCTTGAAGCTGATCATATTACCAACTGCAATTCATCAGGCAAGCTGCTTTCTTATTTTATTGCCAACACGCAGTAAAAAAATAGTGATACAACAGCAAAATCAAAGAATGTCTTCCCAACATAATGTCACCCAAGGAGGCTGGTGCATTAGCAGAAGTTCCATTGCTACCCAGCTGAAATGTTTTAATAAAGAGCTTTCCACAGCCAATAGATGATCTACATGATTATGATCCATGTGTTCTGGGGGTGTTGGGAATTGTAGTCCAACCCAACTGAAGAGAACCTGGTTGGGGGCAGGTTTCTGTATCTATTTCACAGAAATCCACTTTTGTTACATGGGTGATACTGAAATGCTTTTTAAGTTAGGCATGTCAAGGGCTGCAAAACCCTGGACAGCTGCTACATGGCAGCTCTAACGCAGTTTTTCTCAGCCTTGGCAGCTTTAAGATGGGTGGATTTCAACTTCCAGAATTGCCCAGCCGGCCTGCATCTTAAATGCTGCTTCAACTCTTTGCTGCCATGTAACGGTTGCGTGGATTTTTGCAGCCTAGGAATGAGAACTTGCCAGCCCCAACACCAGCTGAGTTTTGCAAGGTCCAAATAAAAGCAGGCTTGATGCCAGAACAGTTGACTTTTTAAATGTGGTGAAAGATAGATTGGTATCTCTTAAAAAACTTTGATTTGCCCATCTGTACAAGTGGCATGGCATATTATTTGGGAAAGTGTGATTAATGTTCAAGGGGGAAAGTGTTCAGTATTAAAATCAGACTTGGGAAGGATGTAAAACCGACTTGTCTCTTGCTACTGCAGGTGCCTGCCTCCCAGATTGCCTTCAGCTCTGCTCCTCCACCACAGATCCTGTACAATCCAGCTCAGCAGATCTTGACATATGCTGGATTTTGTCCCTCAGCAGCCTCCATTCCTCATTATCCTTCCTATCATTTACCCCTTCAGGTAGAGTACAGGAGGTGTACCTCTACATCTGGTGGGCACAGTGACATCACTGGATTGCTTTGTAATGGGGAACTTTGTATGTGAGTCTATGGGTGTGTTTCGGCTATTCTAGTCCAAGCCTGAAAGCTAGTGCTAAAAGTCTTGGCTGTCTGGGGAATTTTTCCTTCACTGGGTGTACAGTGCAAGGAATATAAGCTGGACAAAAGAGCGCCTTTTCATGACTGTGTGTGCAGTGGGCTATCAGGGATATCTGTTCCCCCCACAGCTTAACATGTATATGGTCAACAGAAATGGGTTTGTGCAGACACAGAATCAAAACAGGGCAGATAAATCAGAGCTTCAGGGATATTGAAAGCTAACACAGACAATGTTTATGGCTAGTGTTAAGCCAAGAGTTACTTTACCAGTGGTCTTTGAACAAGGCAAGGACAAGCAGAGTCAGTCCTGCAGATAAGCACATGCTTGTGTGTTTGCTTTACTGCTTCTGGCAACAGTCGAAGGAATTGGGCCAAGCACAGAACATAACAGAACCCCAGGATTCTGGATTTAAATATAACACCAATAAGGCATGGTTAAAACAACCGATGATTTATACATTTAAGAAATCCAATACTTTTGAACTGTGATTTGTCATATAGTATATAAAAGTGTCCCACTCCTCCCCCCCTTCAGCTAGGTCCATACATCATCCCTACACCAAAACAAAAAAATAACATTATGGCTTAGAATTGAGAGTGACTTTGCAGGTTGGAGTAGGTGCACGTGTGTGTGTGTGTGTGAAAACTTTGCAGTGGCAAGCCCATTATTTGAAGGTTAGAAATTATGATGTATATCGACATGCATTTTTAATACTGTTGTACGGTCCAGCTTCTAATTAATCATTGAAAGAAATCGTTTTTCTTTGTCTTGGTGCAGCCTACCAGCAATTTCCCAACATCTTCATCTACTGATCTATCTTTAGCCGATGATCCCCAGCCACCTTCTCAGGCCAGCTGTAACCACGGGGTTCCTCCTA